GAAAGTCAACCACCCTAGCCCTTCAGGTCACTAGCTAGTCCCACATTCAAAGTGTCCCTTATTTTATTTCATAAGAATTGGTCACCCTGCTGACCGCACAGGACTCCCTCAGTAGTTAAGTCAGTTTAAGATCTTTATGCTCAAATCCTTGGTTGGTACTTCATGGAGAAGACTGGGATTTCACGACTCAGCTACCAGTTATGGTGGCTGGAGCTCACCCCCTAGCTGAGCAATGGCAGCCATGAAGTTGAAAGTTAGGGGGGTGGGTGGCATGGGAGGAGGCGCGGGTATTGAGCAGTAAGTTCAGTGAGGGATTTCTTGTGAGAAAGGAAACACCCTTCCCAACACTGGGTCCTTCCATCAGGCACTGAGTGCCCTTGAAGAAGGGACCCACCTCATTTTCAGAAGCCTGCAAGCTACTCCTGGGTTAATATAAATGGCAGTGGCTTGAGCTTCTGAAGTGGGCATTAATTTCCCACTTAATGGCCTCAGTTGGCAATGGGTCAGGAAGTCTGTCCACTGGCTTTTACTGCCAAGGAATTATCAGGGTGGAGGTAGGAAGGTGACAAGATTCTCCACCTGCCAATTTGCCACCTGATTAAATGCCCCTTCCACCAAACGCACCATGCAGGAGGGCAGAATTCTGCCCCTTGCGTTTTACTTGAACTCACAAACAGTTGATCTAAAATGCAAACGTCTTACCAACTGAGCCACAGGTGCACATTTGGAAGAGACAAAATTCTAATAAATACAATGATGAAATTAATATAATAATAAATAATGATTGATTGGGGATTTAGTCTTCCTCCTGGACCCTAGTGTAGAAAATGTATATTTAAGTGTCAGTGCCTGCAGACACCTTGGTACCTTGCCCGCTGGCTGGAGAAATGGCAAGAGGCCAACCAGGCAGTGAAGAGACCAACTGTGGCCCTTCTCCCCGCTGACACTATGCGACTCCTTGTGAGCATCCTACAGTCGATCTAAATGTAACTTTTCTTATGACCATGCCACACTTTTATCTGTACTTCTTTGCTTACTATGATCTGTCTGTACTTCCTGTAAACAAAGCTCTTCACTGTACTTTGGTACAGATGACAATAAATCAATCAATCAAACAAAATCCTGGGAGCAGAGGTCTCACCTACAGAAAGGTTTCAACCAACCAGAGACTGCCAGCTCTTCTAATCAGCAGCACCATGGGACAGCTGGGATTGATGGTGGAAGGACAGGCACTGGAGTCGCAAGTTTGCAGAGTGACACAGGCCACATGTTTCATGGGGTGGGGGTCATGCAGAGAAGTATTTGGGGATGTAGTGTCAACTGTAAGGGTAGGGAATATCTTCATGGGCCTCCCCTTCCTGACATACAGTCCCTCAATCAGTCCCTATGTGCCTTTGATCAAGAGACCCCCCCCGCTTCTCCAAGGCATTATCTGAAGGACAGGTGAATTATTCTATCTAATATTGATCTCATCACCAAAAACAGAATATCTTTTTTGTTTAGTTGAGTTGCCCATGAGACACTGTTGTGGTAAAATTGACTGCTGTTTGTCCCACAATAAGAGAATATCTGTACTTCGAAAGTACTTTCCTATTGTAAATTGTTTTTAGAAGTGCTGATATAAATTCCTGATGTGAGGAGAGATCAAGAGTTACTTTTCTTTAAGTGGTTAATTTGACAGGTTGTTCATAATGACGTTGAAATATTCACCATTTTATTGTCAAATTAACTGCATTCATATTGTAGATTTATAGGACAAGTTACATTCAAAAGTATTTATTTGCAAGCTATTTCCAGAAAACTATTTTATCTTTCCCCTCTTTAAAAGAATGGGAGTATGAATTCACAATTTTTGATGGTAGGATTATTAATATTATGGGAACAAAATTCAAATCTGGTGGGCGCAAAGTTGTGAATTACTAATCAGATGATTGTTTTATTCCCTGACCATATCAGACTGTGCTTACAATGGACAATAAAACTGGTACTGTCAGTTTTGTGTCCTCACTGAGACTGAATTTTGCAAAGACACAAAATAGTGCATATTCTAAAGCAGTAATTCAGGGGTTTTGCAAAATAAATCTTCATCTCTGCTCAAAAATATCCTTAGGCAGTTATGATGTCCACAAATTTCCTGCCTCTGCTTTAAACAATAACTTTTGGTGGTAGGTGTCAGCCAAGGCTCAGTTATGACTTGTGGATGGATGTCCCACTCTAGTAGTTAAGCAGAAAAATCAAGGCTGGTACTCTTCATATGGCCCCAGAGTGCTGCATTGTTGAAGATCTTGGCTTTTTAATGAAATGTAGCGCAGTTGTGATCGCTGTAGGATTCCTTGCCCTGGTTTTGAAACTATAGACTCGCTGCCTCCTCAGGTGGATGTAAAAATTCGGATGGCACTATTTCAAAGGGGCGCAGGGGCAGCACAGTGGCACCATTGTTAGCACTGCTGCGTCACAATGCCAGGGACCTGGAGTTGATTCCAGCCTTGGGTGGCTGTGTGGAGATCACATGTTCTCCCTGTGTCTGTGTGGGTTTCCACCAGGTTTCTAGTTTCCTCCCACACTGCAAAGATGTGCAGGTTAGGTGGATTGACCATGCTAGATTGCCCTGTAATGTTCAGAGATGTGTAGACTAGGTGGATTAGGCATGGTACATGTGAATTTATAGGATGGGGCTTGGATCTGAATGGGATGCTGTTTGGAGGGTCAGCGTAGACTCAATAGGCCATCTGGCCTCTTTCCCTAGTGTAGAATTCTATGGCCCAAAAACATTTCTCCCCCAATTTCCACAAGATACTGATTATCAGATCATTATTACTTTGTTGTTTGTGGGAGCTTGCTTCACATAAATTAGCTGCTGTGTTTCCTACATCACAACAACCATGACAAAAACAAGTAAAAGTCTTGCATTTCAATAGTGCCTTTCATGGTCACCAGATTTCTGAAAACACGTTACAGCAATGAAATTCATTATCATTCTCTAAATACAATGAGGCAATTCACCCGTTCAAACTCTGTCCATTATTGACTGTGTATAAACAAAGTTCATACAACTTCTTACTGCAATTAAAGTTGAAAAAAATGATAGTTTGTAATACTAAATGAAACTAACCACACTGACATACTGACCTACTGATTATGCTATTCCACTCTCTTCATGCAGTGCATCAGTTTTTTTTGGACAATGTGCTGCTAATACCTTTTTTATTACAAACAAAGCTAACACAGAAAAACAGGTTCTTACTAACCATGGGAGACAAACTTAGAACACAAACTGAAGCCAGTCATCACTTTCCATATTAATGCATTTTGATTGTCAACTGTGACCCAATTAGTAGCAACTCTGCATCAAAAGACTGTGGGTTAAACACCTATTCCAGAGTTTAAACACAAAAATCTAGGGTGACACTTCAGTGTAGTACTGAGAGAGTGCAGTGCAATGTCATCTTCCAGATGAGATCTTAAACTGAGATCCTGTCTGCTCTTCAAATTTCCTGCATTACAACAGTGACTGCACTTCAAGAAGAGTTCATTATCTGGGAAGAGCTTTGTAAATCAAAGTTTTGGCAAAGCTCAGGTTGTGGGTGAGGTTGTTGATTTGCTTGCCGAGCTGGCTTGTTTTCATTCAGACGTTTAATCAACATGCTAGGTGACATTGTCAGTGGACCCTCCGATGAAGCAAAGGTATTCTACTCTGCTTGGAATTTATACTGTTTGGTCTGTTATGGTGAGTAGTGTCATTACTGGTTTTGATCTGTATGTGTTTGTATATGGGGTCCAATTCTATGTGTTTGTTGATTGCATTACGGGTGGAGACCCATTCCTCTAGGAATTCCCGTGCATGTCTATGTTTGGCTTGGGCTTCTATGATTACCTTGTCCCAGTTAAACTGATGGCCTTCATTGTGTGAATGTGCCGATATTAAGGAGAGTTCATTGTGCCATTTTGTTGCTAATTGATGTTCATGTATCCTGGTGGCTAGTTTCCTTCCTGTCTGTCTGATGTAATGTTGTGGCAGTCGTTGCATGGTATTTTGTAAACCACGTGGGTTCTGCATGTCATGGGAATGGGGTCTTTAATCCTTGTGAGTGTTTGTCGTAGAGTGGCTGTGAGCTTGTGGGCCACCATGATTCCTAGTGGTCTTAGGAGTCTCGTTGTCAGTTCTGATATGTTCTTGATGTATGCAGTGTGGCAATGTAAATGCAACTGTCACCTGTGGCACTGTTGGAAGCACTCTTGACTCTAAGTCAAAAGTGTCTGGGTTTAAGTCTTCATCTAGGACTCAAGTGTCAAAATAAAAATTGCCACTCCTGAGGTGGTATGTGAAGTAACTCCACAAAGGCTGGTATCCTGTCACCAAGTCAGCCTTTATTTACACATGCATAGTACATAACACTGACCCAGCTAGCTCAGAGCTGGCTCCTAGGGTGAACAGAACCGCTGACACTCCTGTTTATATCTGTCAGCCAGGGCCCTCAGGTCGGACCAGGTTAACAGACCGGTCAGGGAACTCTTATTCTATAACGCCCACCTGGCTGACCTCATTCCAGCCACTACAGTAAGAACTGTTGGAAGGTGTTATCTTTCTGGTTAAATGTTGAGCTGATCCCTGTGCCTGCCCACTCAAATTGACTGGTGTCCTTTATTCCCCATGAGACTTACGAGCAGAGGAAGGCCATTTGGCCCATTGCATATATTCTGCCATTCAAACAAATCATGGCTAATCTGATGATCCTCAACTCAATTTTCCTGCCTTGTGACCATAACCCTTGATGCCGTTAATGATAAGAAATCTATCTCCTTGAATATAATTGACGGCCCTCTGTGGCGAAGAATGTCACACAGTCACCGCCCTCTGAGAGAGAGAATAAAAAAATTACGGTAGGAACTACATTTCAAAAGCATTCCATACGGCTGGGAGACGTTCGGCGCAGGATACATTTAGGTATAAGGATGTGGGTTTTATTTTAAGGCACTGGGGCACTGACGTGAGCGATGTGTGAGGATGGGAGGACCAGCCTGCAGTTCCCGCTCAGCCAGCGCAGGGGGCAGTACAGGCTGCGAGGAGACGGAGCGGAAGCGGGTCCGCGGAGCTGAGCTGAGCTGAGGTGACGAGCTGCTTCATTTTCCATCCCAATAGCGTGCGATCTTTCGGACCTGAAATCTCCGGCCGCACTGAAAACAATCGTAATTGTGAAGTCTGCTTGCGTTTAGGCACCAGATGGTTTTATTTTCCTAAAGCAAAGAAATCAAATCTTGATTTACTTTAAGTCGGTGTCCAGGCCAGGAGTCTCTCGAGTGTACAGGCCTGAACCAGAAATAAATGTCCCAGCTTTATAAAGTTACATACAGCTTAACGAACTCATTATCTCCTTCGTAAATTTTATATTTAATTTATTCGTCGATGTTGGCTGCCTTTTTTGAATGCAGCAAAACATTTTGCTTAAAAAAAGTCTTCCAGACACAATTATTTACAGTTTAAATGTCTGACGCACTAAAAGTGAGTATACGTTAGATAAATGCCTTTTAAAATTGTATGAATTAGAGTTTTTCTTGCTCCACATTGTAAATGCGAAATGGTTTGTGATCAATGGCTGTAAATTCGATCTGTCTGCTTATTTAAAAGGAGGGTTTGTAACGCAGTGGGTGGTGTACCTGCCTCTGAGCCAGAAGCTATTTGATGGCCAAGGAAGGTGCATTCATAATGTAGCCAAACTGCAAAATCTTGTTCCACACAGTAGTGGAAGAGATTTCTGGGCAGCAGTAAGATGGAACGAAGATTGATGCCTCTACCCATCACAGTCTGTAGCTTCAGAACACTACCTGCATGTAAAATAACATGTTGCCACGCAACTTAGACCCCATTGAGTTGTAATGGAAGCCATCCTGCGAAGTAATGAATGGTTTCACTTCTTCTGTGTTTACTGTTTCACTCCTTATTTTTCTGTAGCTTTTTTTAAGGAAAGGTGAAAATGGCAGATTAACTAATAATATATTGTGTTAAGAACATGAAAAAGCATATTCAGTAGATAATGTGACAGTCAATACATTTCTGATGTAACAAAATATTTTTTGAAACTTTAATTGTGGTGCGAAGTATGAGCGGTTTGGACTAGTGAATACGGCATTTCTGGATATTGAGGATGATAATGGATGAGGGGAAGTACTTGGAAAGAAAATCACCTACTTGAAGGGTTTACCTGATGCACTTGACTCTCAGCTAGCACTATGTACTTGCATCACTGCCTCAAAGTGGGATCCAGGAAGGATGTGGTTTTTCAGATCGTTAGTACCTTGCCACAGACATATCCACTGGATATATGGAGCATGTGGTTGGGTTTTCAGGTGCAGTGGGCTTCAATTAGACAATATTTTCACTGCCTCAACATTGGTATTGTAAAATGATTTTACAAGGTTAACTTGCTCAAAGCAAGTAACAATTTTCGTATATGCCAGTACAGTGGCCCTGTAATTCAGCCTCAAAATAAAAAGAGAAAAAAAGTGTCCACCTATCGGCACCATTCCGCTATCCTCCCCTGCCACCCCTCTCTTTATCTGCAGCTCCCTCTACCCCACATCCAGCCCTGAAGAAGGGTAATACCCAAAACGTTGACTTCTTCCCTCCAGATATTGCCTGGCTTCCTGTGTTCTTCCAGCCTCCTGTTTGTCAGCCCTGTAATTAAGTTGTGTAATTAGTAATTAAAAGTACCGAGAGAATCAATTCAATTCGCTATACTGAAGGGCCATTCTATATAATATACTGAAGGTAGGCTTGAACAATAATCTCTCACCTGTGATTGAGCAAACAACCATGTAACAAATTCTGATGGCAATTCAGGATGGGAAACAAATGCTGGCCTTACCACAGGCTCTATATTCCCATGAAATAGTAAAATAAGTGTTCTGAGCTTTAAGAGAGATGCTTTTTGTTTTCTTTGACCACCTATCATGCTTCTCATGGGTAGCTGGTAATTGTTTCAAATTATTGAACGCAAAGAGGGCTAAATGCTAACAATAAGCCTACATTGTAGAATTAGGATCTTGGAACACCTTAATGTATTCCCATAATAATTTAATTCTTATTTTGTATGCAGCATTTCTGGTAGTGCACTTCGCACTCACCGGTTGATGACAATGTACATGCTTCTTCGTTGCTTTTATAATGGATGGTAGCAATTTTTTCAATATTTAGTTCTTTTTGAAGACTAGAGAAGGTGGAAGAACCTTGTTGCTAGGCAGATATGAAATCCATTTGGTATTTTAGTGGCTTTGTGGGAGGATTAATTTTCTTTCCTGGTTTCTTTTGCTTTTTCTTGAGTTTGTGACTAATTGATTTGTTTATATTTTTGAAATATGTGGTGTCTTGCAGACTTTCTCCATTTAAATGTTCAAAGACATTGAGATGCATTCTGGTTTTTCATTTTGGGTGGGTGTGAATGATCCACTTAGCTCCTGTTTGTAAGAGTTTCTTTCTTTCCAAGTATTGCTGCTGGCTGCATTGAGTGAAAAGACCAATATATAATGTTCATGTGTTCCTTTAGGCGTTGCTTTTACAAGATGCAAACATGCTTTTGCCAATGTAAACTAATGTATTGCATATGTAAAAATGAAAGTTCAGGTGTTGATTGAAATATCAGTTTATTGATTGTTAATATGAATATACCTTTGTTTCAGGCAACCATTAGATTGTGAAAATGACTACGGCTTCTGTCTCAGATACATACACGTCAGCTGACGCAACGTGTAGAGTCTCAGTGGAAAATGTTACCCAGGTAATGTGGACAGATCAGAAGTTTCTTTGAATGTATGACAGTGTCTGTACAGGCAGTCCTTGGTTTAAGAATTGATTCCATTCCTGAGTATGATCGTGAGTCGATTTGTATGCAAGTGAGAACACAATGCGATATAATATAAAACATCTATTTGTAAGTACAAGTGAATGTTTGCATGTCGGATCCTTAAATTTAATATTATGGAATCTCGCTCATAAGTACAAACATTCTTAAGATGGACGTTCATAAATCAGGGACCACCTGTACACTCAAAAATTAATAATTTATACATTGAAGTTTCCTATTTGCAAAGTAAATGCTCAGGTTTGGCTCCACCTAGTGGCTGCTGAAGCTGCTGTGGGAAAGACATATCTTGTGCCTTCAGAGATAGTAGGAACTGCAGATGCTGGAAAATCTGAGATAACAAGGTGTAGAGCTGGATGAACACAGCAGGCCAAGCAGCATCATAGGAGCAGGAAGGCTGACATTTCGGGCCTAGACTTCATCAGAAATGGGAGAGGGGAAGGGGGTTCTGAAATAAATAGGGAGAGAGGAGGAGGCGGATAGAAGATGGATAGAGGAGAAGATAGGTGGAGAGGAAACAGAGAGGTCAAAGAGGCAGGGATGGAGCCAGTAAAGGTGAGTATAGGTGGGGAGGTAGGGAGGAGATAGGTCAGTCCCGGGAGGACAGACAGGTCAAGGGGACGGGATGAGGTTAGTAGGTAGGAAATGGGGGTGCAGCATGAGGTGGGAGGAGGGGATAGGTGGGAGGAAGAACAGGTTAGGGAGGCGGGGACGAGCTGGGCTGGTTTTGGGATGCGGTAGGGGGAGGGGAGATTTTGAAGCTTGTGAAATCTACATTGATACCATTGGGCCGCACGGTTCCCAAGCGGAATATGAGTTGCTGTTCCTGCAACCTTCGGGTGGCATCGTTGTGGCACTGCAGGAGGCCCAGGATGGACATGTCGTCTGAGGAATGGGAGGGGGAGTTGAAATGGTTCGCGACTGGGAGGTGCAGTTGTTTATTGTGAACCGAGCGTAGGTGTTCTGCAAAGCGGTCCCCAAGCCTCCGCGTGGTTTCCCCGATGTATGGAACAATGCTTGAGGATGAAACAAAGTGGGCCAAATAAATGAATCTTAACTAAATGTTTTGCATTTTCAACTGTAAATTGCATATTCAGTTTTATATCAATTCAAATGTAAACAGTATTTGAAACATACTGAGTTCATACTTAGTGCAAAGTTCTCTATCAGTCTGATCATCCTGTTCTGAGGAATTGTGGTTCGCGCAGCAATCACTTTACAAGAGTGAAAAAGAATATTTTACTAAAAACAGAATTTCAGAGGTTATGCATCCCACTTTTAGTTATTTATAATTGGACAATGAACGCAATTATACTACTTAATAAAATAAGGGTACGATGGTTAGATTTTACACTGCCAGTTGCAAACTTGACAAGTTGTTTATCAACATTTTTTTAACATAACAGACAGTTAGAATCACAAAGGCAGAAAGAGGGCACTTGGCTCATTCTGTTATTTAAAAAGGGAAGGAGACAAAAACAAGGAACTATAAGTCAGTTAGCTTAATATGTGGTATTGGGAAAATGTTAAAGATACTATTATAAAAGATGCAATCATAGAGCACTTAGAAATACACAATATGATCAAGCAGGGTCAGCATAGGTTCATAAAGGGAAATCATGCCTGACAAATTTGTAGATCTTGACAATCTATTCAATTATGGAAATAAATGTTATTTTTGAAATCTGTTGAGGTTTTTAATCTGGTTCCATGTTTCAATGCAGAATGACTTTATTTTTTTAAATGTTGCTTATTTTGAATTAATGGAATTACATGCAACTAAATATTTTGGTACATACTGCCTTCTGAGATTTTTATTTATTGCCTTTATCCACTGAAGTTTTAATCCTGCTTCTAGCTTGAGGATTTTGGATTTAGGAAACTAGTACTTGGGAGCAAGAGTAAGCCATTTGACCCTTTAAGCTTGTTCTCTCCATCCAATAGGATCATGATCGATCTGGTTGTTGTCTGGGCTTCAATTTTCTGTCTTCCCCTCATGACCCTTGACTCCCTCTTCTATCAATAATCATTCTGACTCAGCCTTGAATAAACTTATCGATGCAGCCTCCATTATCCTCTGGGGAAGAAAATGTCACATTCTAATCACGCTTTGAGAGAAACCGATTAATCTAATCTCTTTATAAAAGGAAAACTTAAAATATGTTCCCTAGTTTTAGTGTCTCCCTGATTTCCTGACTTTTATATTGTCCTTGCAATAAATCATATTCCATTTGTTTTCCTAATCTCTTGCTGTACCTTTGATTCATCCATTGTGTCAGAGTTCTGCATTCTGTCTCTATTTTAAAAAATAAACTACTGTTTTTCTATTCTTCCTGCAAAAATAAAAGTTATTCTTTCTGCATGTTATTGCTTTTGCCAAAAGTTTGCTTGCTCAATCTCTGTCTCTGTCCTCTGACAGACTCTCCCTCCTCTTGACAATCTACTTTACTACCTATCTTGTCGTTATCCACAAATGTAGTTACAATACATTCAAACCCTTCATCAAAAACATTGGTATTGGTTGTAAGTAGTTGAGGATTTAGCATTGATGCCTTTGGCACAGTTTCAGTTTGCCAACCAGAAAAGGACTCATTTGTCCCTGCTGTCAGTTAGATTATCTACTGTTAGATAATCAATTATTTATTCAAACTAACATGTTATCCCCCAAACCAACTGTAATCTTGTGCACCAGCTTCTGATGTGGCACCTTATCAAATGCCTTCAGGAAGTCCAAGTATACCACTTATATCCACTGACTTTTACTTTGTCAAAAAGCGTTAGTACATTAGTTGAAACACAATTTCTCTTTTGCAAAGCCATGATGGCTCTTTGAAGACATTGTGATGTTCTGAGTATCCTGCAGTAACCTTAATAATGGATTCTAGCACATCCTCCATGATAGATGTTTGGCTAACTGGCCTGTAGCTTCCGGTATAAAAACAAAAAGGACTGCAGATGCTTGTAAATCAGGAACAAAAACAAAGTTGCTGGAACAGCTCAGCTGGTCGGGCAGCATCTGTGAAGAAAAAAAAGTTAACGTTTCGGGTCTGGTGACCCTTCCTCAGAACTTTGAGCAACTTTGTTTTGGTTCCTGTAGTTTTCTGTTTTTGCTGAGTCCCATTTGGCTGGGACTCTTCCAGAATTGAAGGAATTTTGGAATATTTTAATCAAGGTAGCTTTTAAGATCCCAGGCTGCAGATCATCTGTTTCTTTCAAGTTAAAATCATCTTTCATTACATAACTAATGCCATCCTTAATTAACAGAGCCACTTTACCACCTTTTTTTAGCATTCTGTCATTGTGATATACCCTTCAACTCTGTCCAATGTTCAGGTCCCAGCCTTGCTCACCTTTGAATCATGTCTTTGTAATGCCTATTAGGTCATATGTATTTATCTGTATCTGTTCTAACTATTCATCCTGATTGTTACAAATGCAGCATGCATGTTTTACCTTGTCAGCTGGGACACTTTTACCTTTATATATTCTGTTCCTTCCTGTCACATTCTGGTAATCAATACCCAAATTGCTGTTCTGCTTTATTACTTGTTATCATCCTTACCATGTGTTCTCTCACGTGGTCCCCTCTGCTCCTTATTTAGTTTAAAGCCCTGTCTACTGCCCTGGGTATTCTATTTTCCAGAGCCATGCCAGCATGGTTCAAGTGTAGGCTGTCGCAAGTGTACACTTCTCACTTTCAGCAGTGCTGTTTCCATGCCCCATTAATGAAACCCACTTCTCCCACATCTATCTTTGTGTCATATACTTATTTCTCTTATCCTATTTGCATATGTCAATTTGCTTGAGGCTCAGGCAACAATTCAGCAATTATTATCTTTTGAGGGTCAGCTCTTTTCATTTGGCCTCCAGCTATTCACACTCCCTAAGCAGAACCTCTTTCCTAGTACTTGCGATATTATTGGTATTTGCTTGTATCATGACATCTAGATCCTCCCCTTCCTACTACAGTTCCTCTTCATTCCAGAGCAGATGACCAAGCCTTGACCTTGGGCAAGCACTATAGCTGCCTGGACATTTGTTCTCCGATGTAGTGAGCTTTGCCTATCCTTTTGACTGTACTGTCTCTAAAATCATTGCATTCCTATTTTCTCCCCTGTTTGAGATGACTTCAAGTCAGTTCACTTATCTACCCTGCAGCTCCTGTTCTCATCCAAATAAATTGAAAGAACTTCAAAACCAGTTGGACGATTGCAAAGGCTATATCTCGTGCATGCCCATCACTGGGTCCCATTCTCTGCCTCACTTGTAGTCACATTCTCCTATGCCTGACCACTGACCAAATCAGAAAACCTTGTAAAGGATGTGACCAACTCTTGGAACAAAGTGTCCAGATAACTTCTCTCTCCTTAATGTGTTGCAATGTCTGGAATGTACCTATTGAACAGTGTTTGGAATGTACCTATGTATTGTCTACTCAGCTTTGTCGGTTTTATTTACTAGAAATCATCGAGTTCCAAAGCATCAATGTCCCCTTCAGATAACTATTATCTGGCACGAAGGCGGACACTGCAGGTGGTGGTTAGTTCCCTACTAACTGAAGCAGGTTTTGATGCAGCAGAAAAGGCAGCTGTTGAAACTCTGACTGAAATGCTGCAGAGCTGTGAGTAGAAAATAGTTGGCTTTGTTTAGTATTGTTCAGTTTTAAAAGAGTTAGATAGTTCCATTAGTGCACAGGTTAATTTAAAGTACAGAATTATTAATGGTTTTTTGATCATGCTGTTAAAGATGGACCTTTTTTTGATGAAGGACTGGAATCACACCTGAGAGTCAGCTGGGACACCAGAGTGGTAGTTAGGAGGCAGAGATCTTAAAAGCGCATAAAAACCAAAAGAACTGCGGATACTGTAAATCAGGAACAAAAACAGAAGTTGCTGGAAAAGCTCAGCAGGTCTGGCAGCATCTGTGGAGGAAAAAATCCGAGTTAACGTTTCGGGTCCGGTGACCCTTCCATTAACTCTGATTTTTTTTCTCCACAGATGCTGCCAGACCTGCTGAGCTTTACCAGCAACTTCTGTTTTTGATCTTAAGACTGTATCCTGTTAATAAACTACTATCAAGGAGAAGAATTGCCTTGTTTCATACTTCACCATTTGGCTTGGATCCCTTTAACAGTATCACTGAGGCTTTGTTTTAATATGAAAAACATTTGATCTTTTTTAGCCCCAGCTGAGAGAATCCAGACCAGAAACTCAAGTGCATCACAAACCACAAGGTTTATGCTGTAGCTTTGTTATAAGTTGTTACGATTTTCTTGTCAACTTGGTAAAAATTGTGGTAGAAAACCCATCTGCCCCTGTGGGATGCCATGTATTTTGAGCTTTCAAAGGTCACTTTTTCATATTTCAGTGCAAAAAATTAGCATCATTTAAACCAAAGCCACCATTTTCATTTGGTGTAAAATACTTCTCTTGACAATTATTTTCTAAATGTTTTTATTCACTTGTCCTCATAGTTGCCTATGCACTGTTCCCCTGTTTCTGACCATCCCCACCCAACAAATTCTATGATTCTACTTTACTTTGAAGTAGATTGGTACAAATTGAGAGTTGCTTTGAAAACCATCAGTCACACCTGTAGGCAGCCTTAGCGTCATGTGTTTGTGAGGTATGACTTGCACTCTTATCTGCTTTTATAATGACCTAACCTGGGTGTGTAGCATCTGTGTTATCTCGTGACCCAAATCAGATATTTGTGTCTTTGTCTCATGTACATCTGCAGTCTCCTCTATGGGGTGGACCGAGTTTGTTTTGCGACAATGCCGGATCTGAATTTAGTAGGTTGTGCAACTTTGTAGAGTGGTGAACACAAAACAAGTATGATGACCGGGCTTGGATAATTCAATCATACAATCCATCTCCCCACCCCGACCCATACTGATATAGGCTAGTGGTGACTAGTCACGTGCTGGATTCAGGTGAATAGAGTCTTTACAGCAGCATGAATCCTCCAATATTAAATCATCTTTTATTGTCCAAGGCACACTGATGTGTCTGAATCTTAATTTGAAAATGACTTGAGTTCAGAGCAAGGTTTCACTACTGAGATAGTGGCTTATCTTGACTTTTCTGAATAGATTTGCCTGGTCTGCTGAGCATCTTGTGAGGTTTCTGCCTTTTTTCTGAAATATGGCAAAGTGGTACTGCAAAAGTAATGTTTATATTGTTAAGTTGACAAAACTGTGGAGAATGTTATCACGCACCTGAATAATAGCGAGCAAATGAAGTTCGTTTCTATTTTAACAGTTTTGTTGGACATTTTTATTAAGTAAGCACTGCATAATAGAGGAATAGAGAAGTATGTGCCATGTATCTTGATCCTCACACACCACTTTATTTAAATAGGAACTTCTTTTCTCCCCTAGATCTATCTGAAATTGGTCGAAGTGCCAAAGTATATTGTGAACATTCAGCACGAACTCAACCAACCTTGTCAGATATTGTGGTTACTTTGGCAGAAATGGGTATGTTCTATATTGTGCTCAAATGTTGACCTAGTTTGTTAAATTTACTGAATATTTTGTGTGACATCTTAAACCACAACAGCCCAAGGTTACAACAGATGGGTGAGAAGTTGAGAAGTACCTAATTTGCAGATTTTTCTTTTCAAAAATAGTTTGCCAGCAGTAGCTTGAATGTTTTGTAAGAGAAATGTGCTTGATGCAGTGAATATACTTTGATGTTGCATCATTAGTGGCTTGATAATCATACTTTTTTAAAATTGGATTGCTAAAGTGAAACTTCCCACTGGCATCATTTTATGATCATTGTGCTTACCATTTTTGATTATTTATATTACTACTCTTTTGACAGCTGCATTTATGTAGCAACCTATTTCCTCTTCAGGATGTTGCACAACACTTCACATTCAATGGATTGCTTTTTGTGGTCTGGTAAACTTCTACATGCAACACAATATGAGACAAATGAACAAATAATAGTTTTTTGCACTAATCTTTAATTGCTTCCTACCTAAAACGTTCTAAAACTGGTCCTAATGTATTCAAGGATTGTACAAAGACTAGAACCAAATCTGTTATAGCCTCATGGTCATGGAACTGGATTAGAAATCAAAAAGAAATTAGTTCAAATTCAGTCATAGCAATTGTGAAATTGAATTCAGTATGTCTGCTCATTTATGCCCAATCCCCAGAAAATGAGTTGAATTAGCAAATGTGCTGAATTGCAAAAACCCAACTCCAGCGCATCTGTACTTGGGTTGGCCTGTATAGACATGAGTGATTCATGATGCACTAAGGGATATGTGATTTAAAAACTCTCTTTCCCATGTCACCGATGTCCCAGGGCAAATTTTTTAAACTTTTTACCGTTTAGTGCTAGATTGCAATCCTAGCTTTGGTCAGCCAGTTTGGTCAGTTATTTTTCTGACCTGATGCAGAGTACGGTTTGTACTCTTGCTTCTAGAAAATTCCTGTAACTCAATTCCGTACTGAATCTCTTCTGTGATAGCTTGACTGTTTCACTTACTGTGCTGCTGAATCTTGTGGTCTTTTAGCAAAACTGTTAAGTAGTGTTGAATTGTAGTTATGTGTTAGCTGATTTGAGTTAATGAGGAATTGCTGAGAGTATGGCCATCTGTACTTTGTTTTGATACTTATACTCCTATTCTTCAGGTTTTAATGTGGATAATATTCAGGCTTATGCCAAGCGATCACAGAGAATGGTTATTACAGCTCGTAAGTATGTTTTCACCAAATGTTAATTGTGGAATATTGTGACCTGCCTGAACCTGGGTTTTATTTAAACACTAGGGTAAGGTATGGTGTAAAAAAAAATCTGCCTTTCAGAGGGGAGAAAGAGACCCATTGCATCACATTAGGAACTCTGTGTTTGTCACTGAATAGATTTTTGACCCCAGTAAGTTCAACTTGCATTAGGAACTGCATTGTTGACTGCAGGAGCCAAGAAAGATAACCCACAATAGATTTTTTTTGTTGGTTTTGTTATTTTGAATTTTTTCATTACTTACAATCATTTCATTTTATCTCAAGTTATTTTGTGCATGCTCTCTCACCAACCTTAAACTAGGTTTTTTTTTTGCTTTTTTTTTGTGTGGTTTCACTCCTTTCTAGACTTTCTTAGGATCAAAAGTATCAAGGATTTATTCAGCTTGTTAATTATGGTGCGTTCTGGTCTTCTCCAACCTTTACTTCTATTCCTTCCTACTGATTATATGCCTGATCCATATTTGCAGTATCTTCTGCAAGCAAATGGATCACTACAACCTCTGTCAGAGCGACAGTGGATGCCACTCTTTCACCATTTCAAATGATTCAGGGCTGATGTTATACTATCTGCCAATCTAACATTAAACTCATGATGAGTTTTACTATTCTATAGTGCAACTTAATTTACATTATATCCACTTTGCTGGTACACCCAGCATTCCCATTATAACTTGTCTCAACAATCTTGGATTATACTTCCAGAAAGTATTTTAAGATAATCATAGCACTGTCAGTTGCATGCAACTTGCCAAGATACCATCAAAGCACTTTCCAAACCCATGACCTCTACCACCTAGCACAAGGGCAAAGAGTGTATGGGAATGCTACCACATGTAAGTTCCCCTCCAAGCAACATAAATTGCTGACATAGTTCCAAATTATGATGTTGTCTCTGGGTCAAAATCCTGGAACTCTCTTCCAAATGGCACTATAGGTGCTCTTACACCACAGAATTGCAGTGATTCAAGAAGATGGCTCACCTTTTCGAAGATGGTTAGGAATCAGGAATAATGCTGACTTAGCCAGTAATGCCTACACCCTGTGAGAGAATAATAATAAAAAGTCTGGCATTTGTGAAGAAATCAATTTGAGGGACTAAGAATATTGTACAAAAAGCATAATTTCCACAATACATTTTTCCTGGAAGTGTGTAATTAAAATGTATTGATCCTGGTGAAAATATTTATTAGGCTAGCTAATTTTACATTAGTTTGTTAATTTTGCTTTTAGTATTGTTAATGTGGATAGGCTTTGACAATTGATAACCTTCATGTCTCCAACAGCCCTCACCAATTTGGTGGACTGTTCCGAAGCTGAAGGTGGACTGATCTTTAGTTAGCATGTATGCATTAGATTGGCTATTGTTACAGAACATTTCTGCAGACATTGATGCTGTTCACAGTTTTTAAGTAAAATGCAGAAAAGAAAACCACACCCAGCTTGATTTGTTTCGCACTGATAAGCTTCTTGGCAAATCTAATTACATTACCAGCTAAGGGCAACCATTGACCATGCAACTTTTCCCTTACAAATTTATGCACTGACGTTCTTTGCCCCTCTATCCTAAATATTGGTTGTGTTATCACGTCTGATAACACCCCTCTAGTGAATCAGTTAGGTGATCCATCTTCATTTGCGTGTATTGTGATCACAAGTGGATATTTGACTATATGATATTTATGCTGATCCATTCCTCAACCAATGTCTATACATGCACAGTAGTTTGTGATATACTACTGCCCTTTGACTGCAGATTTTCCTTAACTTAATAGTTTGTATTATCACTCTCCAGTGTGAAATCTGTTAAAATACCAGACATGCTTTTTGAATGGTGTGGGACAGAGCAGAACTTCAAGAATGCTAAAGCCAGTTGCAATTGTCTAACTTCTGCCCCCCTGCTGAGGTAGTGATCAATTTAAAATTTTCTTTTCTCTTTTAAGCTCCTGTTACGAATACCCCAGCACCCCCCAGAGCACTTTCTACAGGACAGAAGAGAACGCATCCCTCGTACATCCCAGCGCATTTTCCAGAGTTCCCTGATCCTCACACCTATATAAAGACACCTGTAAGTGCAAAGCTATATGTTTGTGTCCTACCTCACATTCTTAACAGAGTTTAGGAAGCAATGTAACCAATCACAAAGTTGAGAGTTGATTTGAAATTCTGAAATTTATGGCTTGGTCTATGGATGCTAAAGATGTATGCTTGTGCCACTGTGTTAATGCTAGGCCCACTTTGTAGAAGAAGCCGTAGTTTGGAGAGGAAGCATTGAGAGTGCAGCAGTAAAATGATCTAAAAAATGGCATTGTAAATCTTTGGAATCCCGTTATGTATGAAATAAGTAACAAATTTTAATGTAATGAGAGCAGAGTTTGTGATTTAGTTAAAACAAAGCAAAATTGTGAGTATTCCCCAAATTTGAAATAAAAAGCCAAGAAAAAAATACTCAGATTAAGTTGCAACATCTAGAGAAAACACATTACTGAACCACATTTTGTAGTAGCAGGGCAGCTGCTGCTGTTTACCCCTTTTGTTTTATTGCATGACAAAGGTGTGAGCAGATAGTGGTGCAGCAAGTGGTACAGGGCATCTTGGACCTGAGTGAACAAGCAAGCAACTATTAACTCTTTACCTGGTCAAATTGAAGGATCGAGAAGCAACAGTGCAAGGACTCGGAGGACTCAGAGGAATTGTGAATTAGAGTGGGTGAATTCAGTGTCAAAGAAAGGGAAAGAAAACTGGGATTTGTGAAGGATATTATTATGCTGGAGAGAGCTCAAAAGAGATTTACCAGGATGTTGCCAGGAATGGAGGGCAAGAGTTATAAGGAGACGCTGTGTAGGCTAGGACTGTTTTTTTCACTAGCGCGTAGGAAATTGAGAGGTGACCATATAGAGGTTTATAAAAACATGTAAGGTATAGATAAAGTGAATGGCAGGTGCTTTTCCCTAGGCTGAGGGATTTCAAGACTAGGGCCATATTATTATTATGTTACTCTGTCATTAAGGAAATAGTTAAGATAGGTGGAAGTGATGTATATTTGGTGCCAGAGCGAGGTCAGCCACGTAGTGGATGGCGTTCCTTTTTTACTCCTTGGGAGCACTTGTGTACAAGTAGCACAAACCTTTAGAGCTTTCTCTTCATTCTAGCATGTAGAAGGCAATCTGTGTATAATCAATTTAACAGACTAATTGCCTATTGCAGGCTGACAAGGTTCTACTGCTTCAGTGGAAGAAAATACTCATGTGAGGGGGAGAGGAGGACCCTTGAATATGTGCTTTTTGTTTTTGAATGGGACAGTTTCAAAGTTTGAGGGGAGTTCGGCAGCCTGCAAACTTTCCAAGTGGTGGATGGAGCTAATGATGGAGTGATGCAAAGTGAACATCAGCCACTAGAATATTTGCATTTATCCTGCATCTGTTCCTTTGCAGAAATTGCTGTTGCATTTATATTGGTTTTACATACAGAAATTAGTGATAAGTCCCATCATGTGCACTTCTCTCTCTCTTTTTCATCCAACCTCCATCAGCACATCATTCTTTTCTCACTCATGAATTATTTAGCTTTCCCTTAAACACTTTTGTGCTATTTGCTTCAACTGTTGCCTGTTGTATACCACTGTTAATTACACAAGAGGAAAGTAATTTGCACATAAATAAAAATGAGTCATATTTTTCTACTGTTATTTTGACAATAAAATCCGGTCCAATGCTTCAGGTTGATGACCATTCATCAGAATATAGGCTGGTCTTCTAAATAATTTAGAATAACAATTCAGTTTAACCCCCATTTAAGTTTTGAGAAATTGCAGATTAGCACTATTAGAACAAATCCCTTCATCAGTTTTTGCAAGTGTATCTATTTTTTAGCAAGTGTGATTTTCAAGCAATTTTTTTCAGGTGTTTGATGAGGTCAGATGGTTGTGTAGAGTAAAAGAATTCCAGGCAACCAAATCGAGCTCAGACATGTCATTTGTTCAGAGCATTAGCAGGGAGAAGATGAGAATGTGTATATTTAAGTACATTTTTCTCCATTGTTAGACAATCAGAGAGCCAGTTTCTGATTACCAAGTGCTGAGGGAGAAAGCTGCATCCCAGAGAAGAGATGTGGAACGAGCTTTGACCAGA